CAGGAGCTGAGCAGGGGCCTTCATGTCCATGCTGTGTTCTTACTGACACTGACTCCTGCACAGGGTGAGAGCACCCACCTCATAAGTCTGCAGAGTAATGAGCTATTTCTTGGACAAGTAAATTATTAGGGTAAATGACACCACTGTACATAGCAGAACAGCCAAGACATCTCATAACTTGGAACATGGGGACCGTTCCCATGTATCCAGGGCAGACCCAGACTGCAGAAATTCACCTTCAAAGAACATTGTTCTTCCTGGGACACATTATGTTACAAAAGGCATCTGAGGGGCAGTTGCCAATGTCTAAATGAATATTAAGAAAATATTGGGTAATCTATTTATAATTCACGGACAAGTTGCATGTTATAGAATAGCAACTCCTTGATAGAAAATGTGCAGTGCCTCCTCAAGTATAAGTTATCAACCTTTCAGTGTGCACATGAATTCCCTCACTGCTCTACGCAGCACTCATATATGTACAGAAGTGTAATTGCTTTCATTTATTCAGTTGAGAAAAGAGTGCATACAGGACTTACACATACTCAGAGCCAGATTGTGATTGTATAAATCTATTGTTATATTCTAAATAATGTAAAGCAATTTACTATGGACATATGCGCCATAATCCAAACTAGAGGACTCTTTTGCCTTTTCTTGACTTTGGGGCTTCTGCAATACCGTTTTCTGCCCTTTGGTGTCATTTCCTGAGGCTCATCAATTTTGAAAAAAAATCAATGGATGCAAAATCATCAATGTTTGCATTCATCTCTAGGCACCTGGACAGGCATCAAAAAGACTCTTTGGATGTTTCACAAAATACCAATATTCTGAAAAAGATGAAGAAAACCAGTTCAGAACCTCCTCTTGAATTTGCCCCCAAAGCAACAGCATCTAACAGTATGTCTCTGGAGGATCAGGTGGAACATCTGTAGAACTTGGTACTAGAGAACAGGTGAGGAGGTAGGCCAGGAGAAAGGCTGATTTAGTACTCCTTCACCGTAGCTGAGGGTAGCTGCTGCTTGCTGTATGTCTAAGTGCTGCATTCCTCTTCTAATCTTTGTAGAGTCATGGCAGGGAGGGGTGTGAAAAAGAGCAACAGGCCTTCAGGACCAGGCCAGGAATCTGCTCTTTGTCAAACTGTGAACAATCCACCTGCAACAATATTTTGGATTCCCATAAGAATGGACTCTCAAAGCATGACAGCAGAAATTGCTGAAAATCCCAGGTTCCTCAACACTATAGTGAGTCACCCTGAGGCTTTTCTGTATTCTGCTTGGGCTTAACCTCTAGTAAACCTCAGCTATAGGTTAGTACTTAGGAGCTTTTCCCATCTCTCTTCTCTATTTCACATCCACACAGGACCAATCTATTGCTACAGGTAAATATGCTGCTGATACTACAACCCTTGACACATGTGGACTCGTCCTGATTCTTAAAAGTCGTTTCTGGACTGATTTCATGTCAGTTTGCCATTGGAAGGTGCAGGAATGTTGAAAATCAAGGAATTTATTTTGTCAGTCTTTTGTTGTGTTGCAACAGCATTTCAATTTTTGGGTCACAAACGAAGGTGGCCTCCAGCAAAAAACTGTGGACAGGAGACTACATAAGAATCAGCAGTAACTCACCTGATCTTCCATCTCCCAATCACAGGGACATAGACAGAAAAGTTCTTCATCTTGATTGCGTAGATCTTCCTTGTGATTTTGAATACTGATTAGAAGGAAGAAGTAGGGATGAAAAGAGATATAGGTGGGGTGAATTACAACCCCAACACTAGACACAACATCTGATTTCTGGACATTAGAATTTTACAAAAGATTTCAGAAGGTATTTCACACATGGGTTAGCTAAAAATTAATCCGGAAAAAGAGAAAAAAGAGATGGATTCATGTGTGTGTGTGTGTGTGTGTGTGTGTGTGTGTGTGTGTGAAGGTGCACAATATAATGACACTCAAACACTGATAATGTCTGAATAGTCAGAAGCAAAGAACTGCAGATATATGCACTTGAATATAACAGGGGCATCTTATGTCCAGAGACTAAATGGCCTCCCCTATCTTGACATGAGACTCTCTGAAATACAATTTTATGTAATTGGCTGTCATGTCCTGAACTTTCTCAACATGAAATTTTGACTACTGATGTGAAATGCCATGTACACAATGATCATCAATGTTTGCATGTGCCTGTAGGTATCTAGAATAAGGTGCACAAGACCCTTTAGATGAGTTCACACTCAGAACAATTCTCTGCAACAGACCAAAAAACCCATATAGACACTTATGGTTAGATATCAGATGACCATCTCAGGAACCTGCAATGAGGAATGGGCTTTCCCAGAGCCTAGAGCCTGCGTGCACCTGGTGGGAGATACAGAATAAAGGCACCAAGTCACAGTCACCAAGTCACCAGTCTCTCATCTTTCTGAATCTCTATAATTAAACCTTCAATATTTCACTTGAGCAGTCTCATTTACTCTACAGAGAAAGAACACTTAACACTTCCCAAACAGGAATTCTGAGATATCTGTGGTGCATTGTGTTGTCACTATCCAAACCTCATTGGTAGTACCTGTGGGAACACTGTGATGACCCAGTCTTCAAACTCCCCAGCCGTGTCTGCAGGAGAGTCATCACCATCAAGAGCAAATCCATCTACAACCTCTTATCCAATTCAGCCCACAAGAACTACATAGCCTGGTACCACCAGCAGAAACCAGCATAGACTCCTAAGCTACTCATCTACTGCTCAGCCACTAGAATCTGGGGTCCCTGACAAATTCAGGGGAAGCAACATAGAGACAGATTCCACTCTCATAATCAGAGCCTTCCATACTGAGCACATGGGAGATACTCCTGGCAGCATGAGGACAGTCCTCTCACAGGAATTCATCCTCCAACACAAACCTCCTGCCCAGGGACACACAGGAGTCTACTACTAATATCCCAGCTGCTTCCTGCCTGCCCAGCTCTGTCTCTCCCATCGCTGTAGAACAGACTACATCTGCATACAATGGTGTTTACACTACTAACCAGAGGAGTCAGTGGGACAGCCAGGCCTGGGTCCTGTGCATGAGAATGTCAGGCTACAAAGACTGTGTAAGGTCTGCAATGAGCCTTTCTCTGCTTCATTGGAAACTTTCATTTTCCTCACTGGTTCTCAATTGGGTGTAAGATGGGCTTATCCATCCAACCAGGGACAGCCACACCGGCTTCTTAGGACAAGTATTCAGGATGGAGCATCTGTCTCTCCCTTGTACCTGCTGACACTAAATCTTCCCATTTCCTTCTGTGTCTGAGTCATCTGGTCGTATCTCTCTTTCCCTCTGGGTGAATCATGAGATTTCCTACTCAGCACTGCGTTTTCAATCACTTCTCCTTCTCCAGCACCTCTGCCCTCCAATCAGCCTCTTCTTCTCCCTGGAGATTATCATGAATTATAATTTATCATGAATATAATTATACTATAGAATAATATAATCTGGTTTATAAAAGAAAGGTGAAACTATGGCAGAAAGGAGGTGTGAGTAATGAGAAGATTGTAGGAGGGAGGCGAGAAAGGGACCAGAAGAACAGGACACATGTGGCATCCTGAGGACACATGATGAGGGACTTGGATCATCCCCTCTGTAGCTGCCAGAAGGAGCACAGCCCTGCTGCCTCCTGAGTTTCATCCCAGAAAGGCCTCTGACCTCCTGAACTGGCATGACAATATCATGTAAACCCTGACATCATAGACAGTACAATAGTTTAAAAATAGTATTTTCAGCTAATAAAATGACTGATAATTTTATCACCCCCATCCCTAATTATTGACTGACCTCTAAGGACATCAAATACCACCATATTCTCAGTAGGTGTCAGCTTGGCAGAATAGGACAATACTAGATTATAAAGTTAGGGCACAAATTCCTCCTAGAGGTAAAAACTCCTCAGTGAATTATGATAGTGACCTCTTGTGAACCGAGGTGTGAGAAAGCCTAAGAAGAGTGTGAGTGGAGGAAGAGGTTCTGCTTTGTTTGCTTATCGGTTTCCATAGTAGGAAGAGCATTTCTTCCATATTACAAAGAACGTGGGTGGACAGAGCAGAGTCTGAGGAATGAGAATGGACTGAGCAGATGAGAAAAGGGTCAGGGATGCAAGATCCTCCTTTCCTCACAAATCAGAAATGTAACCACCTGTTGTCTGTGGCAGCTTTGAGACAGTTGCATGTGACAGCCCAAATTGCAGAGAGGGTAGGATTAAAGACCTGGATCAACATCCAGACAAGCATGTCAGTGTGATCCGCGGATTTCACACTAACCTGGCTTTTGTGCCTGTCTTTACTTACAGCTTCAATGTGGAGTGAACAGGGCCATATGCACAATAATATTTTTCAATATATTTTTATTTTGAATTCTGAATTATGTGGTACAATTTTGTTCAGGCTTGGATTTTGCCCCCAAACACACACCCCTGACAGATTTTCCCCATTTTACTACATTCGTGCAGTCCTTTATGAAGAATCATAATGTTATTAGCCTCTTATTGAAGTGTACCCCAACATTGTTGCTTCAGTATTGTCCTGAGATAGCATAGCACTTCAAAAGTCAACATGGATTTGGGGGCAAACAACCCAATGTGCCCTGAGAATTGGATGTCAGAACACAAATTCTGATCATTCATCTGCACCTACAGGCTGACCGAGGGACGAAGGACTGCAGAACCAGCCTGGGAGGATATAGGCAGCTGTGAGCATCACATCCAGCCCTGAGAACCATGGGGTCAGCAGCCTGTTCCTTAGTGGTGAAGGGGAATTGTATTCAAAGACAACACAGAATCAAACGTTTTAAGGATCACCATCTCTGATCCACATTCCTAGATCAAGTAAACATAACTTGGACTCCAATACACGCTATTTAAAATTTCAGCTTGAAGTATCGACAATGCTTCATTTACAGGATGAATTGAAAATTGTTTTGTAAGAATGAGTACTCAGGAATAATCACTTCTTTCCTTTACATCAGTACTGTACTGGAAATGCCAAGTAAAAGGAAATGAGGGAGGCTATAGAGCAGTACTAGGGCATTTCTAACTACCTTATAGGAACCATGGAAGGCTGGCCGCAACAGAGAATGACTGTTGGTAGATTAAGTCTCCAGGAGAACCTAGGCCAGCTCAGGCTCTCACTTCTGCTTTCCTGGGAAGATTTTGTTAAGGCTTGTATCACTGTGTAAATCCAACTACTACTATAACCTCCAGCACAGTAGTAGACTCCTGCATCCTCAGCCTGCACCGGGTTGATGGTGAGAGTGAATGATGTCCCAGATCCACTGCCCTTGAACCTCGAGGGGACCCCAGAATCTAAAGTGGATGCAGCATAGATCAGGAGCTTTGGAGGCTTCGGGGGCTCCACTGGTTTCTGCTGAAACCAGGCTAGAGCATTGTTGTTAGCAACACTCTGACTTGACTGGCAATTGATGGTGACTGTGCCTCCCACAGGTGCAGACACCACAGATGGAGTCTGGGTTATCGTTTGGCCGGAACATCTGGCACCTGAGAAGAGAAACACAAACATCCACTCTCATCAGTTGGTTCATACAGAGGAGACAGCAAGATTTAGTCAGAAATGAGCACAAGAGCTGAGACAATCCCTGCTGTTGTCCTTCCTCACCTAGAAGCCAGAGCAGCAGGAGCCCCAGGAGCTGAGCAGGGGCCTTCATGTCCATGCTGTGTCCTGACTGCCACTGACTCCTGCACAGGCTGTGAGCACCTGCTTATAAGTCTGCAGAGCACTGGGCTGTGCCCTGGGGACATGCAAATCAGCAGGGGAAGTGATACTGAGTGCAAAAAGAAGAGCTCAGCTTGTCTCATAACTCAACACAGGAAAACTATCTCCATTCTCTGGGCTGCATTAATTTACCTGCAGATATCATGATCCTCTCTGACACATACTATGAGAAGCAAGCATGTAAGGATCTGTTGACAAATTAATGATACCAAGGATAAGATTATGTCATCTATTTTTATTTCATGCCTATTTTTCAATTTGAAGGGGAGTAGCATATTGCTGCAGAATGTATAGCATCTTTCAATACAGTAACTCCTTTGTCATCAGCCTGACTTCTAATGCTTTACTTATTAATTATGCATTTCTGGGAGTCTAAAATTATTTCATTTATGTTACCTTAAAAAGATGAAAAAAGGGATTCGTACATGTATATACAGTCTCCGTTAATTAATCACCATCCAACATTGTTGTTTCTGAATACTCAGATTCAATATACTGTAGATTATGAACCTTAACGTAACAGGTTTTTTTTTATGCCAGGAGACTAAGTGGGCTCCCCTTTCTTGACATGAGAACCTCTGCAATACAATTTTATGTCATTGGCTGTCATTTTCTGAACTTCATCAACATGAAATTTTTACTACTGATGTGAAATGCCATGTATGCATTAATCATCAATGTTTCCAGGCATCTGTAGGTACCTGGAGTAGGATTGACAAGACACTTTTGATGAGTTCTTTGTCTGCAGCAAAGAGAAACCCCATCAAAGGTCTCCCATACAGATTATCTGAGTTGCAGTATCTACCACTGGGGTTCATTGACCATGTCTGGATCCTGCTATGTGGAGACCAGGTTAGGAGGTAGAGAGCAGTAAAACCCTCTTATTTAAAAACTCTTAGATGAGGGTACCTGCTGCGGGGTGCCAGTCCACATCACACACTGCAGTGTCCTCCTTCCTCTTCTCCTTTTTGTCAGGGCCAGCACAGAGTAGAAAACACTCCCCTTCTCTGTACCGCAAATGATCCATCTTGTCATGCTAGTTTCAATAATATATAGAATGTCTTGCATTGAGATAAATTTGGGCCCCAATTACCCCACTCTTGAATCTCACATCTCTATCTATCTGTGCCCCTGACACAGTCTGCATCACTAGAGTGTGACAAGAATGTCACCATCTCAGTACTAAGGAAGCTGTACACCAGCCAGGAGGTGGGTATTACTGAAACATGAATACAGGTGACAAGATCACTTGGGCAGCCTCTTCACAAGCCTCCTGATGCCTCTCCTGGGGTTTGATATCTCAGGGCACCTACTAACAAAGAACAGACCAGGGTCTCCCAGCAGAAAACTGCCTTTCCAGACACAATCAATGCTCACATCTGTCAAGGAGGAGGGTAGCAGGACCAACCCATCCTTGCCCTTCACTATTCCACTGCTGACTCCCTCCACTTCTTTCTAGGCTGCACTGAGCTCTCTGAGCTTGGGAGCCAATCTAACTTGCACACATGGTAACCATCTGTGTATGACATCAGGAGGAGTGGCTAAGGACCTCAGCTCCCTCACCTCTTCCTGGAGTCAATTCTGAGGCATTTTCCTGTGTTCCATGAAGACTAACATCTCCTTATCCTCTGCTACAACTGACTGACTTAGGAGAGTTTCCCATCTTTCTTCTCTCTTTGTCTCAATAGCCTGCTTCACTGCTGCTCAGGACCCAATATCAGGGTCCTGTCAATACTGATTATTATCAGGCTTGCCTTAGCTCTATTCATGTCACTTCTCCAATCTAAGTGATAGGAAGATTAGGACAATTAAGAAAACTACAATGGATGTTGTCCATCCTCATTGTGTAGAACCAGGACTTCAATCTTACTTACAAAACCAAAGTGGCTCTAGGCCTAGAGTGTAAACCAGGAAGACTCCATGAAACACAGCAAATAGATTTTACCCGGATTCAGTCACTTACTCAGAAATTTGATCTCAAATGTCCTCCAGCTCTGTGTTCCATACATCTTCCTGTGGTGCTGAATTCTGAGATTGATCAGTTATCAATTTTAATCTGGAGATTACAGTCATATTGCAATGCTGAATTATCTGGCTGACAGTTATATAACGTAATATATTCATCCACACACGAAGGAATAAAGCCAAGGTTGAAATTCTGGTGAGGCGGTACAGAAGGTCGTTACAGTGAGGGGAGGAAGGACTGACAAGCAGGACACATGGGGCACCTTGAACCAGAAAGAACAGGAACAGAAGTGTGTGATTTTGGTCAAAATATTTAATTAATTTATTGCAGTACATCCCTGATAAATCGAATATCCCCTGAGATGCACGAAATATCATTTTGTTCTCATCAGTGTCAGCTATAACAAAGACAGGCAAAGGTATTTACAAAGTGAGGGAGCACAAATTCCTCTTTGATGCAGAATCTTATCAGTGAAATTTCGATGTGACCTCTTCTCCGCTGAGGAGTGAGGAAGCTCAGCCCTCATCATTGTGAATGAAACAAGACATTCTGATTCGTTTATTTCTCTGTTGCCATTTCAGGGGAGACTTGTGTCTTTTCTTTAGACTGAACTTCCAATATACAAAGAGAATGGCCATGTGAAACAAAGATATTTGAAGCTATATTCTGCTGTGTTCAAATCAAAGCTCTCCACACTTGTGCACCAAGTGCTTTGGGGGAAACAACCCGTCTTCTCTGAAATGTGAAAGTAAGAAGAGAATTATGTGCCATCTATGTGCACCTGCAGGCAGATCCAGGGATGAGATGAGGACTGCTGAACACCTATAAGTGTTGCAGGCAGCTGAGAGCATCAGCTCAGGGCTGAGGACACAATAATCATCAAACTGTTCCTTCTTTGGAGTGGAGCTGTGTGTCTTGATGCAGAATGCAGAGTTTCAAGTTTCTGAAATCACCATCTTCAACCTTCCTCAGTTTTTGCACTTTAAACGCAGAATTGTGAAACATAATCCGTATGAAACCCTCCTTCTGTATACTGGATATTTCTCCAATAACTCAAAAAGATCTGTAGCACGGAGTGCTGCACAAGAGCCCCCATGGCCCTTTCAACACAGCTTCTGGGGCTTTCAAGCATGGCTGCATCAGAGACTCACTCTCAGCAGATGGAGGCCCCAGCAGCAGCAGCTGAGGCAGCACAGACTCACACTTACACTCCCATGAGTGGATTATGTTCAGGCTTGTGACTATGGGTGGAATACTCTACCCCTGAAAACAGTAATAAGTGGCAGCATCATCAGCCTGCACACCACTGATGGTGAGCATGAACTGTGTCCCAGATTTATTGATGCTGAACCCAGCTGGTATTCCAAGTGTTAAACTGGATGCATAATAGATCAGAGGCTGAGGAGAGGACCTAGGTTGCTGCTGATAATCTAGAGCTCTGCCAATGCTCTGACTCACCTGGAATTTGATAGTGACTGTGTGTCCAACAGCTGCAGAACCCAGGGATGGAGACTGCATCATTTTCATGGCACATCTGGCACTTGATGTGAGAAACATAAACACAAACTTCTACACTGATCATCATGTTACTACAGAGAAGACAGGAAGTGTCAGATAGGTAGACAGTGGGAGCCAGGTTAGTGAGCCCCAAAGCGGGCTGGGCATGGGTTTGGTTGGGAGGTCCACGTGCTAACTCTACCCTGCAAAGACCCCTGGCCACCACCGAAATATTTGTGTTTGGTTGGAGCTTTGTGTTAGAGGGACCCTGGGGGATGGAACAAGTATTGGTGTGTTACAACGTGGATAATCACACCCAGGTGAGGAGTGGCCTCTGCACTTGCATCAATAATGCTATCACTTGCAAATCTGAGCCTCCTCAGTGGCTTAGATGGAAGAGTGAATGGCATACACAGATGGCAAATAGAGGATATGGCAGTCCATTGGGGCCTGCAGAGGACATCTGACACCATAGCAGAGGATGGAGGGCAGATGGCCCATGAAGGGGTTAAGGAAATGTGTGTGGAGTGGTGAGGGGTTCATTTAGTGGGAGGACCAATGAGCCAGTGAGGAATGAATACTGAGGGACTTCCATCATCAACAAGACCACTCTAACCACTCTCCTTGCAGGCAAACATGGGTGCTGAGACAGAGCAGTTTGAAGGGTGGAACTGGAACACCTTTAAGGATAAAACATATGCAGCAGCACAAATGGCAGCCTTGACTGGGGCTAGATAGCATTGACCACCACCATCTACCACTCACTGATGTATACTAAATCTGAACTGAGGTCACACCTGGCAGGGCTAGATCACAGTACCTGTCACTGAGAATCTGAACAGGGAATGGGTACTGCTAGCCTGGCCCATGATGCTAAGCAACATTCAAAAACACCAGGTCTGGGGAAGATTCTGTGAGGTGTATGTGGGCACATCCCTTGTAGAGATGCATTATCTGTTGGTTTGCTTAAGAGCCAGAAGTGGTGACAGGCTGAGCTAGGACTGACCAGGGAACCCTCTGAAACTTATGGGTACTGGAATTGGGTATAGACTGGGCTGGTCCAAGCTGTAGCACCTTAAGGTAAACACAAGTATAAGATATGGGGCAGAGAAAACTGCAAAATCCACTGGCTTACACATAGGCTGTGTCTGGAGGGGCTGACCATGCTGGTTAAGGACCTGGCACCCACGGGCACATATGAGATCTGGGTCTGGGAGTGGGCCTGGTGAGGGAACCTGGTACTCTCCCCAAGAGGTCCATAGCTGTGCCTTGTGAGTATGTGCTTGAGGCCTGGCTGTTGGTCAGGCCAGACAAGGTAGCTCCACACATCAGAATGTGTGTTGATAGGCTCTGGAGAGGAGGAGGTAGGAAAGGGTCAGATCAAACATTAGCACACTGTCACATGCAGGAACAAGACTAGAGTGCAGTCCGTGTTGAGCCAGCGCATCATGCCTAAGCCATCATGCCTAAGCCAT